CTAAATCTAAAATTCGGATGAACAGGATGCACACCTGAAATCAAATACATAAAAAATATGTAGGTATTCAACGCATGAAATCACCTCAGATTTTTCGTTCATACAGCACTACGTTATTTTCATGATCGGTACAGGCGAACTTTTAATACAGCTAGCGGTACACATCAAGTATTTCAAGCATAGTATTTTTTGTTTCATAACTAATGAAAGGAATTTCCAATATAAAATTATCACTCCCAGAAATTTCATGTCAGAACACTTGGAATATTTATTTTTCCAAAGTAAATCATGTCTCAGACTAGATTTTCTTCCCGATATATCCTAGTGTTCTGATACTATTCCTTCGTAGTGCAATTGTATGCGGCATAACTAAGTTCTCTGTAGGTAGTTTTCCCCTAAGTCCCATGGTACGGTCGAAAGTGGGGAAAGTCAGCTCTCTCTCGAAACAATCTCACATGACCACTTGCTTACAGTCACTAACAGGGAAATCCTACTCACTACCTTCTCGTGCCATTATTATTGTTTCGAAGTTGACAGAACGAAAAGCGAATGTCTTGCTCCCACCGGATTGGTAGATACGAACAATCCACCTGGGAGTTAGAAAACCCTGATTCCGTACCAATGGTGTATATGGGCTCCAGGATCCTAAGAAAACAAATGCCGTATGAACCTGTTGTCGGTCACCGGCTACCATGGGACTGCATCTCCTGACGTTGCTCCACTACCTTGGAAATTAGACCTTTAGGTCGAAGACTCGGGATATGGCCCCCTGAGAAAACTATCTGCTTCGGTTTGGGCACCCGGGCAGTATCCCAGCCCTCACACACAAATCAAATGATGATTTGTGGCGTATATCTGTTTGGTGTTTTCTTGTACCAATTTTTATGTATTTAAGTAAATAAATTTTCCATTATATCAAAGATGAGGCCTGTAAACTTACCAGATAACCTCACTCTTTACTGTTAATTTACGAATTAATCTGGAGGTTTTTTGATGTGCTTGATAACCATTAACGCTCCATATAATCATGGTGAAAATTGTAACATTCCATTCGTGATGTATTGATTGGTATCGCTTTCTTTAGGGACTACACAAAACTAATCACTCAGAAACTCATTTGATATGTTTTCACACACAAATCTATGTTTTGTACTTGATCTAGCTTCTGACTAACAATTTGTTGCTAAAGCATCAATTTTTTTAGTTAATTAGAACTAGTTGTTCCTGTTATGTTTATCTGATTTTTCAAAGTCCAAATGATTTTGATTGAGCCTATTAGATTGTTCTCTATTTTTAAATAACAATTCTGATTACTTGTATGGCGTCATCGTGTTATACATTTGACACCGTTTTCTGTTATACTTGATTGATCTCTAAAATTATAGGAATACATACCACTGGTAGAAAATGAATGCGTTTTGTGTGGCAACAGAGCTGCTGTTGAATACAATTAGAAATTCGGGGTATATTTTTTTAACATCAAGAGTAAGCCAGCAACTCGCGGTAACGTTGTGTTCATCTTTACTTCTCATTCATCCAATGTCACTTAATAAAGGCTAAAAACGTATTTACTTACTACAATTAACTGTCTATAATCACGTTTTCTCGACTAGATGAGTGATTGTTTGCATATTGCTACTGGAGAAACCCGTTGACATTGGTGGATGTCGCGTACTCCACTCTGCTTTCAGTGTAAGATTAATAGTTGGTAACTACAAACTACCTGCATATGAGTATTTAAAATTACATTCCCCAATACTAAGCTTGTAGTGTTTCGTTAAACATGTATAAATCAACATGTGTATTAACTAATGTTCTGCGAAATCCTTAGTTCCTAAACCACCATTAAAAAGTGAACTGCCTCGACGTGCGATGTTCAGTGGTATAGGAGTAGGTTGGAAGAAAGCTAGGGGCGGCCAGACCAAAACATGGCACAAGTCCATGAAGTCACTGACAAGTGGTCTGAGTCATGTCGGTAGGTGTAGACTACTTGGTTGGGGACCGCGAGATGATAGCAACCGATGGTTAGAGACCCTGAATGACATGGCTCAAAATCGTTTGCAATGGCGCAGGTGCATACACTCTTTGTGTTCTCTCAAATTTTGATCTCTTTATTCCTCCTTGTCTCATTTTTTTCTCTCCTCTCAAATTTATTTCACTGTATTATACTCTTCATGTAACATCTCCAAACACTAATCTTCCCGATTACTGCTTATACTCTTATTACCTCTACCACTACGGGATTTGAATCGACCGCTGCATCTCTGTGCTAATGTGGTGTGGCAACTCGAACTGATGTACATACGTACGAAGTTCTCCGTTGTTACTGACTGACTGACATTAAAAAGTGATCTTGACTCATTCACTCTTTTATTCACACTCTGTGTATCCTTATTTTTCTACTTATACAACAGCTCGCCTGTGGTGGAAATTCGGCTCTATCCCCGTTATCTGTCCTGCGACCAAGTCCCATCGGCCACCTAAACGACTATCTTCTGTGCCTAGACGCATGACCTGAGCATTCAAGTCGCCGGCTAGTACTACAATATCTGTCGAACGCACTTTCTGGAGAACAGATAACTGGTGGTAGAATTCATCCTTGATTGCATCCGGGCTGCAATCTGTCGGAGCATAGGCGGAGATGACGAAGAGACATCGTTTCTCACGCCGATTTCTTCTCACTTTAATTGAACTTTCTAATCTAACAGCACATAACCGACTGTTAATGGGGATCGAATCGATTAGTGCTGCCTCAGCTCTAGGTCTTAGTGCGACACCAACTCCAACAAGACCAAACGAAGATGCCACAATGTCCTCGGATAAACGCACGTAAAACAAGCTTTTTGAAGTGACAGATGGAGAGCGAATTTGTAGTACTTCACTAGAGTTTTGAATACGGGTCTCGGATAGACAACAGATGTCGATATTAAGACTTTCCAAAGACATAGCCAGCCCTATCTGTTGTCCGATCTACATAAGTGTGCGAACGTTGAAGGCAGCCAGTTTGAATGGTGCATGTGGTTTCAGTAAAACTGTTTGAGTATTCGTATTTGGTGGTAGCATACAATTTTCAACCAGGAAGTGACTCGAGGTCATTTAGATAGAACAGAATTTCTACTATATACGAGCTGTTATATAAGTTTAAAAGTAAGGATACGCAAAGTAAGAATGCAAGAGGGTAGATAAGTGACGTAGTACATAAAACTAAAAATATAAGTGAATGTTATCAAATGGGTATGGGTTGTTTGGATTGTAATAGGAGTGAGAGCAGTATATTAAATAATCGTTGTCACTTCATTTTAATTGTGTTAGTGCTATAATGGTGCCTGGGTGCCCAGACCGACGCCGGTGGTTTTCTTAAGGAGCCGCACCCCGAGCCTTTGACCCAAAGGTCTGATCCATAAGGTAGTGGAGCATCGTGAGGAGATGCAGTCCCATGATAGCCGGTGACCAACTATTGGTTCATACGCCATTTGTTCTCTCGGGATCCTGGAGCCCATGTGCACTATTGGTTTGAAATCAGGGTTTCTCAAATCCTCTTGGTGGACTCTCCGTGTCGACGGGCCCGGTTAAAGTGCAGGACATTCGATTTTCATCCTCTTAATTCGGAAAACAACAATAGTGCAATGAGTAGGACTTCCCTGGCAGAAGCTGTATACGCGTGACCGTGTGAGAGTATTTCGAGAGGGAGGGCGAGCTCACCCCACTCTCGGCCATACCAGGGCAGGACTGTTCTTCGGGATTTTCTATTGACGAAGGGTGTGCCTGAGAAGTTTATTAACATCCTAAAGGCCTTATATACAAACACCTCAGGCAGAGTGAGGGCATACAACCACCTCTCTCCATTGTTCCATTTCAGCAATGGGGTTAGACAGTGTTGCCCAATCTCACCATTCCTCTTCAACTCTGCCATCGATGACATTCTGGAAACAGCTCTGATGAATGTAAGTAATGGTGGTGTGGATCTGTTGTCTGGAGAAAGACTTCTCGACCTTGAGTATGCGGATGATATTCTCTTACTGTGCGATAATGCCCAAGCCATGCAATCCGCACTTAATCAGTTGGCAATTAGTGTACCTACCCTCCGGATAGAAACAACGTATATGTTATCTAAAATTTCCTGCATCTGTTATGTTTCCTATTAGTATCAACTCACAGCTGGTTATTTTAAAAATGTAAATAATACATTGTTGTTAAATAACCTGGTATTTTAATACTGTGTGTTTTATTTCAGACCCAGGAGCAATATCTTCAACTGATAGCATTTTCAGTTCCATCACAACTGTATACAATTCAATTTTTGTTTTTAGTGAATAGATTTTAAAGTTTTCAAATCAGTTTCGTAGATTACCATCCTTAAAATCTATCAGAATCATTAACATTGAATGTTAAGCATAATTCGGACCAGATGAACCCCTCACATGTTGCATTCGTTCCCATAGGGTTGAGAGACATTGTATAGCCATTACTCTCATATCTAATATAGTATACTGAGTTCATTCGTTCTTTATTTGTTTTGGAAGGGGATTTCGTTCTAAAAAGCCGCGTTAAGATCAAATTGATAGTTGTTTGTAAAATGTACTCTAATGTAACAGAGTAACTAAACATGTTTAAGTTCCTAACTTTAAATCATTTAGTTTGTGACAGCTGGTGATACTATCCGTCTGTCAAAATTGAAATAGATAAGATGGAATATGAAACAACCAATCGGTAGCTGAAAGTTGACAAATTTAACCACTAATTTAATAATTGTATTTTTACTGTGAATGAGTAAGTTTGAAATTTTTGGACTGCTTTTTATGTATTACCATCACTTGTTACCAGTATCGAAAAGCTATAAATGTACAATTATGATAATATAAATATACATATTACTTACTTTCTTTGTTTTTCTTGCACTCCTAGTTACGCCAAACAATAAGCTTTACGGTGGAATTTGAAAAATTATGGTGTTCCACTTTACCACAGAGCTGGTGAATTTCTTTATAGCTTGAAAAAATATGTCAGCTTATCGAATGTATCGTTTACTTTATCAAAAGTTTCATTTCTACAACTACTGTATATATAACATTCAGGGAAGATTTTTCAGTAAATTAAATTATAAAATTACTACATTATTTGAAAATGCAACAAAACAGGATATTTCGAGATCATACATTAACTCTGTTTTATCACCATTAGGTGATTTTACTGTTTCAGTTAGTGATTGTAGAGATATGAACAACAACTTACCTTCAACTCACTTATCATTTTGGCCTTGTCTTCTGAACTACGCTAGTTATCATGATTGTCCTGAATTAAGAAAATCATTAACCAACTACATTTTGAGTGATATAAATGAACATAGCAATGCTACATTAATGTGTACATTAAAATTGTTAGGCATTCAAGAACGTTATACTGAATTCAAAAGTTTGTACGATTATTTTTTGCTTCGATTAAATGCCGTAGAAAAAAAAGTTTTTCAAAATGATATAGCGAAATCGGTCGCACGGACGCCGTTTTGGAGAGACACACCTGAATTATTATTCTCTTCAGAAACGAAAAAATGTGATAATTCAGCAATTTATGAACAAATGTGTTCTTCCGCTTTAAAATTTGATACTATCTCTTCTTTTTTTGAATGTATGCACAAACTAAATGGTTCACCACGAGAAAATGTTTTCTATGAATTTTTTAATAAGTTAAATGGGCTAAAAGAAGAAGAATCTGTTCGTTTAGTCAGTCAGTTATTTCAAATAATGCAAACACATCGATGGATAATTACTTATGAGATTGCTGAATGTATTCAACGTTGGTTTGCAAATTTGAAGCATGAACGTTGGTCAGGAGTTTTATCTGCATTTGTTAATAGGTTAGTTGTTACTAAATTATTATGAATCCGCTGTCAAACTGTAAAATTTCTATAGAGGCTATTTATGTTCAGTATGTAGAAAAAGTCTACCACCACCAGACATGTCACAGTTTCATTTTTCCCGAATGGCTGATGCATTTTATGAAACAGTGATAAAGGTAATGTGCACATTTTTTAGAATTTGATCTTGTTTTACTAATTCCAGGGGACAGATATTGAAAGTTTATATCTAACAGCAACATCGAATGAAGTTATGACTCTAAAACGATTTGTTGATTCTCAAAGTGAACCCTTAGATTGTATTATCGATTTTATGAATCTTATGAATATGCGCAAATTTCTCTCTTCCGATTCGTCAGGATTGCAGGTTGCTGAGGTAACTTTAATTTGCTCAACAAGTAACTCAGCAATTTTAACTATTTTCATTGTTTACTGAAGTTCTCAGTACAAATTATCATGTACAGGTTTATGTACTCAGTGTTTAGCTACACTATATCGTGTAGAAGTTAATAATATAATCCTTATTCTGAAACCGAAGCGAGTGGATCAGAGTTCGAATACACCACATGCAGGTTGAACAGAAATTACTTTACCTACTAAGCTACCACTCAAATATTAGTAGTTTAGTATTTGACTTTAAACCACTAAAGTGTGACTGTAAAAAAGTTATTGATGTTTGCATTTAAATATATGTTTTATATTTAGTTCAGTAACCTGAACTACTAAGTTATCATCCGTGCTTACATAAACTAGTAATTTAACCTTCTTTACAGCCAATATTCCTGCTAGTAAGAAGGGTTATATTTTCAAGATAATTGGTATTAATTTTTGATGTTGACTTTGTCTGTTTTTGTATCCGACAAATAACATACATACACAAGTAATAAGCTCCCAAGTATTCAAACCACGCTATTGCAGCAGTTCATTTAGTTTCTATTTATTAGTATGAATCGTATAACTAACTAGATATCTTGATTAATCCCAGTTAGACAGTCAGTCAGTAGTGGTTGAAGAAAATGACTCAGCTCATTTAGTGTCGGCGTTACAAACTACTGTTCATGTTCCACCTAAATCTTTAATATCATTTTAAGGATTGTCATTTGAAGTCCTTGAATATAGTTGGATAGTGAGTCTTTGCGGAGTCCAGGACGCGTGTTTCGTCATATTCAGGAGTCGTTATTTAGATGTACGTGTATTCTAATATAGGCGTTCGAACCGTGACTCAAACCCAGCATTTTGCTGAAAAAAAACATGAATTATTTGCAATATTGAAGCAATCCGTTCAAGGTGGAAATATGTTAAAGTAGACTGAACACTCTCAAACCTTCAACAACAGGAAGATTCAAACACTTACAAAAGACCATTAAAAGTCCTAAAATTGTTGTCTTCAAGCTTTCTATTACTTGTGCACATCGTTTTTACTTTTGTTTTCTGTTCTGATTTTTAATATAATGTATGACTACTCGGATATTCACCTACATTAAGGTATTACGCGGCCTCTCTCTCTGACTTCTGCAAGTAACAGACATCCATATTTTTATACTAAGTATAAATAAACTATTAATTACTGATGATCTATTTCAATGACTTATAAGAATCATCATGCTTCAAATCTTTATGATTTAGTTAGTTCCCTTTTAAATTGTGTAATGATTGTGACAATTCACAAGTCATTTCCACAGAAAAGCCAAGTTAGTTTATTTCAGCATGGCCTTTAACTTAATCATCAATATCCTGGTTAATATATAAGACGGACTAACAAACCGGTTTTGTTCTTGATCGGTTATACTTATCAGAAAGCAGTCACTATATGTAGTTGTTCGGGATACTATATTCCCCAAAACGGCGTAAAGTATTGAAGCTGTCAGCTAGTTCGTGAACGAAATTAAATCCAGTCGTTAGAACGGAATATGATTATGACAGAAAAGCAGTAACTGTGTATCCAAAGCTAACTGATTATTCATATTACATTGTCATATGTAATACCTAAGCTAGTCTGTCTAGTGCTTTTACATTTCATTCGTCTATCCCGCTGTTCCGGATTTTACATCCCCCAAGACAACGTACAGTGAAAGAAATCAATCTTAATTATTCACATTGATTTGAGGTGATTTTCTCTCAGTTAACTCCAACACACTGCCGTAACTTCTATTCATTAAATTTCAGTATCTGCCAGTTGTATCAGTTATTTGATTCTCAACAGACTTTCCTTGTAATGATTACTTTACTATGATTTTGTATTCGGTGACAATTACTTAGGTAACAAAACTCTGTAACTAATAGTCACTGAATCGATCTATAACTGAATTAGCTTGGACGTAAATCCAATCTCATCAAATAAACGTTCTTAATAAGATGTGATTTATGGAGTAGTTGAAGACGGGGGGTCAGGTCTGAAGCGAGTAAGAGTGTTTTGTATGGTATCACAGTTATCACTATTTATTCTACATCAATAACAATAGGGTAACCTAGTTTAATGGCCACCTCCGCACTACTCAAGCTTTTTTATCTCATCGTGAAGATACTGTCATCAGATTGAGTTGACTGGTTAGTAAAATGAAACATTTATTTATCTCATGAGTGTCTCAGGCTTCTTGTCACAATTTTTGCTCACTTTTTTATGAAATTGTTCTTTTCGTAATCTGATGCTTGACAATTGATGTTATTTATCTTTTTATGATTTTGTTGCTATTGTATCGTTAATCTGTATAGTAGATTTACGAATACGTGCTTTTCGGTAAATATCTCATTTTATTATTAAGTTCAAGTGGTTCTATTACAGTATTTGGATTTGAAAGCACTAGGTTTTTCGGAGTTTCCTCAATAAATCTTTTGATTAAGGTTTTAATGTATATTGAAATCAACGATATTATCATGGCTTTTTAAATACTCATAATATTCACGAATCCTTGGAGCCGTCAGTAGTACAATAACCAACGTATTTGTAATCACAGTTTTTGAACCTTAAGTTTGGGTCTTTATTTTTCGCTGCAGATATTTCTCAGTGACTTTTAAATCATCCAAAACTATTGCGTTGTGAATTTGTCTAACAAACCAGTGCAAGATTGTGATAACTATCTAGGGAACAGAAAGTGGAATACTTCGTTCCTCATTACCATTATATTCCACGTAATATAACAAATTAGCACTTGGAAAAAGTTATGCTCTTCCAAGCGGCTGCACATCTCAACACAAAAATGTACGGGAAATAATTGAGTAGATGTATTATGTAAATGTTTACATCCAATATATATATATATATATATATATATATATATATATATATATATATATATATATATATATATATAACGCAAAACTGATACCCCTCGTGGAGGAGCATAGGCCGCTCACCAAACTGCTCCTGATAATCATTCTGTTGAAGATACATAAATTTGCACACCTCTTGTCAATCTCGGCCCTTGCTCCTAGTCCACATGATTTCATGATGTCCGGCGCTTTAACCGGATCCCAAACCAATGGTGCACATGGGCTCCAATATCCTGAGGGAACAAATGGCGTATGAACCAATTATTGGTTACCGGCTACCATGGGACTGCATCTCCTTACAGTGCTCCACTGCCTTGTTGATCGGACCTTCAGATCGAAGGCTCGGGGTGTGGCCCCCTAAGAAAACCACGTGCTTCGGTTCGGGCACCCGGGCAGTATCACAGCCCTCACACATATCAAATAAGACTTGTGTGGCGCATATGTATTCAATGCATCCTTGTACCAATATCTATGTGTCAAAATAAACAAATAAATAATGATGTCTTCTTACCCAGTGTTATCCATTTCGACTTTGACGTTCAGTTCTCCCATCAAAATAGTCATGTACTTTCCCGGTCACTTCTCTACGACTGACTACAACCTTTCATTAAACTGATCTTCATTGCCTTCGCTTTCTTTGCTGGGCGCATAGGACTGAATGACATTCATTGTGATTCTCTCCTTTGTTTTGAGGAATGCTCTAATTATTTTGGATCCACGGAATTCCCAACTTATGTATTCTTCTTGCTTCTTTTGATAGCGTCAGTGCAGCTTCTTGTATGCGCGAAGCATTTTCTTCTTGATGACTGAAGCACGACTTTATCTCTCCCGAATATAACTGTGTCTGTCTAGATTGGGTACAATAAGTTTCACTTCTTCTGACCACCACGTTGTATCTCTTCATTTCTGCAGCTATTTGACTGGACCTACCACATTATGCGGGCATTCTGTGTATCTATATTAATTGTTGCTCTGGTTGTCAGAAGAGGCATCATCCTCATGATTTCCGAAGAATCTCGGCTTTCACTATGAAGCGTCATAATTCTAAACCAAGATCCTTCAACACACATTGAAGAGTTTAAAGGGTTTAAATTCTTTTCTATGGTTAGCATTTTTTAAAATAGCAATGTTGTTTTCTAAGGGATAGAGTTTCTGACCCCATTGCTCAACCCATTCTGTTTATCCAAGCCTGGGACCAGCAGTAGCCCTAGGAGGTCTACAGGTGGAGATATGTAATCTGCCTGCCTCCAGCCGTTTAACAAGTAATAAATATCTTACAAATCTTCTTTTTCAGTTTATAAATCACAGCTTAAAACACAAGAAAGCTTAAGTTCTGCATTTTATTCGAAGATCTAAACACTTCTGATCAGTGACTTTTTTATCTAAACCGTTTTTGTTTAGGTTTTGAGACAGATCAACAAAGATTTCAATCTTCGGCGTTTTTGTTTTGTCAGTAAAGGGAATACAATCATACGTAAATCAGAGTTTTGGAATCCAATTAAAATGCTAGGAAATCAGTTGGGTATCTCTGTTCAAAAATTCTGTACAAATTCTTCGTAAGTCTATATATATATATATATATATATATATATATATATATATATATATATATATATATATATATATGATAAGTTTGTCTTACATTGCTCTTACTCGCCTCCTTTCCACTTTTGTATATTGTTTGGTACTACTTACTTACACTCAGTAAGCAGTTTATTCCCAGCAATTTTTACACTTATGTTGTAGTGTAATATTCTGAAATGTTCACATATACCTTTAACGTCAGTCAATAACAACGTAGAACTTCGTACGTATGTACATCAGTTCGAGTTGCCACACCACATTAGCACAGAGATGCAGTGGTCGATTCAAATCCCGTAGTGGTAGAGGTAATAAGAGTATAAGCAGTAATCGGGAAGATTAGTGTTTGGAGATGTTACATGAAGAGTATAATACAGTGAAATAAATTTGAGAGGAGAGAAAAAAATGAGACAAGGAGGAATAAAGAGATCAAAATTTAAGAGAACACAAAGAGTGTATGCACCTGCGCCATTGCAAACGATTTTGAGCCATGTCATTCAGGGTCTCTAACCATCGGTTGCTATAATCTCGCGGTCCCCAACCAAGTAGTCTACACCTACCGACATGACTCAGACCACTTGTCAGTGACTTCATGGACTTGTGCCATGTTTTGGTCTGGCCGCCCCTAGCTTTCTTCCAACCTACTCCTATACCACTGAACATCGCACGTCGAGGAAGTCGGTCGTTGGGCATACGTAACACGTGTCCCAGCCATCTCAACTGATGAAGTTTCACTACTTCATCAATTGATTTGCCATCCTTACCTATTACCGGTTTCCTAACAACTGCATTACTTATTCGATGGTTCCAGGATATACGAGCACTATTTCGAAGGCACCTATGTCCTCATGTCCACCGTGGTGTCGAAGAAGATAGTATAAAGTCCTCCTATCCACACTGTCGAACGCTTTCTCATCGTCAAGGAAGTTGATGTAAAGTGACGAGTTCCATTCATTTGATTGTTCAACGATGATCCGTAGTATTGCGATTTAGTCTTTGCACGACTGATTTTTGCGGAATTCAATGTTCTGATCTCAAAGTTGGGCGTCTACTGAGTATTTCATCCAGTTCGTCAACATTCTGTTGAAAACCTTTCCTGGTACCGATAGTAGTGTGATTTCTTTGTAGTTTTGACGTTTGCTCAGGTCTCCTTTGTTTGGTATCTTGATGAGGTATTCTTCTTCCCAGTCTTTCGGTACTTGCTTTCCCTCTCAAATGTTCCTGAATAGAACATTGAGTGTCTTTTCAGTAATTTCTGTGTTTGACTTCGGTGCTTCAGCTGGTATGTTGTCTGGTCCTGCAGCTTTCGCACTCTTGGTTTGTCTAGTAACCATGCTGAATTCCTCGAAGGTTGGTGTAGTGATATCTATAGGAAAGCCAGTGTGGGTTACTTCGATGTCTGGTGGGTACAGTGGCCTGGCGTATTCAAGATTTCTTCAAAGTGTTCTACCCATATGTTCCCCTGTTTTTGAATCTGAGTGATTAGCTTACCTTCTTTGTTGTTGACTGGTTGCTGTGGTTTACAATATTCCCCTGTTAGTTTCTTCTTGGTACCATGTAGTTGTCTCATATTTTCTTCTTTTGCAGCTGTTTCCGCTGTCGTAGCATGGTCTTCCATATATTACTGCTTGTCAGCTCGTCTTCACTAATTGGCTTATGTCTATTCAGTGTATGCCTTTGCTTTCTCTGCTCTTGTCCGGCTGTTGTTAATCGCTCTCTTTTTATTCTTCCTTTCTTAAATCTTGTCCAGGGTTTCGATAGTGATCCATTCCGTATGATGGTGCTTCTTGCGACCCAGTAATTCCCGACATATTGAAGTTAGTTCTTCTTTGATCCCTTTTCAGTTGTCCTCCATAGTAGTTTCCTCTTTTCTGTTTAGATCTTGTAAATCTTGCAACCCGTTGTTGAGAATTATTTCGAATTCGTTGAGTTTGTTGTTGTCTCAAAGGTAGACTATATTAAACCTTTGTAATGCTATTTACTCAGTTGTCCACTGTTTCTTTAGCTTCAGTTACATCTTGGCAACTACCAAGTGATGATCTGAAGCTATGTCAACTCCTCTTTTGGTTCTCACGTATTCCATTGACCTTCAGAAACTTTTAGTAATGCAAGTATGATCTATCTTGTTCTCTGTAGTGTGGTTCAGATCCCGAAACTGCTTATTACCTATCCTTTATGGTTAATCTGTACACGACGGCACTTGTAGTTAAAATAAACAGTACTTCTGAATGCCAACTCATTGAAACTATTTGAATATATACTATTCATCAAAAAACAACTGTAGGACTAAGGCTGAAGAAATAAGTTTGACCGTTGTACATTTACAATCGGATATCTCTACACGTCTTTGTATTTGTTTTATCTTGTCTAGACTAAGTTCTCTCCTTATTTAGATCAGAAGACGATGTATTCCTCCTCTATATGGCGATGAAGTCTGGGCCACAGTGTTATATAGTATCTAATGATGAATTCAAACAATATCGTTTTTCATCAGGTCCAGAACTTGGAGAACAAATTTCTCGGTGGCAGTCTCTCAGACAACTTGTACTACAACGTCGTGGTCGGATATACCAAGTAAGACTAGTTTTGAATGCAAGTTCGTCTTAAGATTCTGCACAGCTTTTACTATTGCTAACTAATAATTTCAAAACCATTATTACTGCAACTGCATACCAATCTAATTACTTCGTGTTCCTAGGAATTCTTCTATTAGGAAGTACAATAATAATACATGTATAACAACTGATTTAGTATTTCATTGTAGCTCGATCATATTGAAGTTGATTTGTATAATATGGAGTCGTTTTCTCAAGGATATTTTTACCAACTCACTATTTCGGTTGTTGATTTATGTACTCTACTTTCAGGAGCTAATTTCTTGGTGCCAACGTGTAACATTTATTTCACTGACTTAATCAAACTGTAATAGTCTGAGGAGCTATGTTGCTTGGAAAATTTGTTCTTTTAGGTCGTATCATGCTAAGCGGATCTTTTGGGGGCTGGGACGGTGATGATTAAATCAACAAATTCATTTTCCAAAAGAGAACCCGTACTGCTAGCTGCACTGAGGTGTGACGGCTGTAAGGTATTTCCCTCCGGCAACGAGCATTTTCCCTGATTCCACCTTCTCAAAATGAATGTAGAGTTTGGAAAAGATCGACCCTAAATATGTCCAACCTTGCCTTTCCCCATAGAATCGGACCTCCTAATAAGTTATATGCTACCTCAGTGTGGGCATCAGAGATATGATCACTCTTCTCATACTTCTAATAACATGACTGGACAAACCATATCTTCATCACCAAATATTACTTCTAGTCTGATATATTGGATGGTTTAAAATATTCCTCTCTCTCTGCAGTATTGTAGTGAACAGAACACGGGTAGGGACAATCGGATTGTATTTAGCACAAAATTACAGTTACTCGGTAAGATAGAAAAACCATATAGTAAATCGTTAATTTGCAAAATATCAATCCATCATATCAAACCGGACTGTTCCTGTTGTAATCATCAATCCATTGTCTCACATTTCATTGTTCATGCGTTTTCTTACAAATTGCATTGTGTTCCCGCTCTTCGTTTCTTGATCTTCCCCCATCTTCTGCTGCCAGACGTTGTTTTTAACTCGCGCCGAATACTACTTACATCAATATAAGTAGCACGCACCACAGTAGTACAATAATATGTTAAAACTGGTCTGGATGACCGAGGTTATAATACCGCCAGATTGAATACTTGAGCGATCCACTATACACAGACTAGATCACATGATATCAGATGCACGATTGACGACAAGGATAGAGAATCAAAGTAACACTAAATAATACTTTATTTCACACAATTACAAGCATTCACTTTTAGTGAGTCCGGAGTAGAAATCAACAATTAAACATTTCACAGATTAAAATCATGAGTCAATTGTAGCTAGACCACCATGGAAAACCTGGAAGCACTAGACGGCCGTTTCGTCGTAGTATGGGACTCCTCAGCAGTGCTCATCCACGATCCCGCACCCCGGTGGTGTTCAACCAGGTCTGTTGTGAGATATCAACTCACTCAAGACAATGGTGTACGGTGGCGCAACTTCGTGGATTGGTTGAAGTTAGACATTAACACCATTGGATGCCGGCTCAGTGGCCTAGTTGATTAAGCGCCTGGCGCGAGACTGATGGGTCCTGGGTTCGAATCTCGCGGGGTGCGGGATCGTGGAGGCGCACTGCTGAGGAGTCTCGTACTAGAACGAAACGGCCGTCCAGTGCTTCCAGGTTTTCCATGGTGGTCTAGCTTCAATTGACTCATGATTTCAATCTGTGAAATTTCTAAAATCTCCACAAACCCGTTCTGATAATTACATATTTGATAGCCAGTAAGTTGCGTGCCGCTTTGTCCCACACTCAGTGACTAATCAAATTTAATTTCACTATCAAACACCATTCTTCCTCTATTAATCCTGCTCCATCCTCTACTTTTTCAACGTGTTACATCAACTCTAAAGATTCGATTCAACAAAATGCTGTACTAGGTCGTCCGAAACCGTTCTTTAGTGCTTGAACTTTGTGTAAAACCGAACATCACTCGTCACTAAGATGATAGCCTCGCGCTATTGATGTGTGCTGTGACTCTAAACACATGGTCATTCACTTGACCTCACCAAACCACTATGGATGCTCAGAAAACCGGTGGTCCCTAGTAAGCACAAATTTTACGCATAAAGAAAGATACTGGGTAATCTGAGGATCCCCAAACTCAACACAACAGTGATGACAAATAAATGAAATTCCCAACAACTATTGTTAGAGAACATCAACAGTAGACTGGCGCTCCTACTGCTGTGCACGCCTGTATCTCGATCATGCCTTAGCGATAGCTTTAGTGGACATAAAGATGTTACAGAAAGACCTAGATATAAGTTCGAAGACCTAAAATGTTAAAGATGCATTTAGGGAAGAATTAGCTGAGTACCTAAAGGATCTTGTAGCAACAAATTATCATTACCAAGCCTTGGAGAGATATGTGACATCTATTAACAGCTTGAATCAAATGGTTACGAAAGACTAGTGGACTTCGGTGCCATTCGTAAAAACTACCAACTATCCCCATTTTCATACACATAGTTCTTTTTGCTATCTTGAAGAGAGCAAGAACGAAGATTTATGCAGAATAATATGAATTCATTTTATTTCATTAGGTTCTTATTAGCTGCTTACAACCTATAATATTTTAAAATCAACGTTAATTGATATACTCATAAATACGGAGGTGATTAGAAATAAATAAGTGTATCATGATTTAGAGTTAATAAGGTCGTAAAAACCTTGTTTCGGATAAATAAAGTTTGGGAGGGAAACTTCCTGATCATTAAAATAATGATTAGAACTCTTGGAGTTAACAAAGACTAGATGATTATGTGATGGAGCAACGGAAAACAGAATAATGGTAATAAAGAAAGATATGAATTGAAGGCGATCATTTAAGACTTAAAGAAAAATTACAATGATGCAATCAAACTTCAGAAAAAGGCGAAATGATGAATGATGTAATAGAAAGGATGTAATGTTACCAGGACAAAGAAAGATTTATTACTGCCTCTTTTTAGATAAATAGATCTGGATTCGGACGTTTGATCGCTATCGCTTCGGCAAATTTGAAAAGATTGGTGTTTGTTTGTTGATCACTTTAGAAGACTTCAGTGTATCGACTTCATGTCCTGTGTCAAGTAGATGTTGTGAGTGGCATTACTGAATGTATCGACGAATGACCTGAGTCATGTTAACAAGTGTAGACTACCTGTCTGGAGACTGAGTGATATGGATCTTAGTGACGCAGGTGCATTCACTCTATTTTCCCTCCTATATTAAATCCAAGGATACCATCATACATAGTCTCCCAGTCTTTTCAAACCATATACCTAAGATCTAACCTTTTTTTCTCATTACTGCCACATTAATTGAATGTTTTCTTACCTCGTGTTAATGTGACATGGTAGCTTATGCCAACGCATTCATGTGGCAGGCTCAATTTTTTTATGTGCATCTATCACAATTTTTGGTTGCTGTGCATACGTTTCCCATGTTTCAATTATAAAAGGCTTCGTCCCTTAATTTCTCGCCCAAAAGGAGTGGTACAGTTAAACACATTAACTCTACCATAGAATGGATCTCTACTTATTATTTAAACACGTAAATATTAGTACAAAGGCTTACCAAAATTTGTATGCTCCACAGAAAAATGGGAGTGTGAAAAAATGAAGAAACGAGGATTTTATCAAAAAGGAATAAAAGTGATTCGAAATTAGTATATGAGTGTAAGAAAAAATAGTGATGAAACAAGCAGTTCAGTTAGGAAAAATATGACTGTATAAGGACAATTGGATTATAACCAATACGGCTGAACACACGTTGCTGAACTTCGGCACCACTAACATGAGGTTGCCACTGGATGTCAGCAATTTTATTTTTGAGACAATGATTAGCAGACAGAGAGTCATCTAACATGCTCAACTCAGAGAGGCAAGGTCTGAAGAGCACAGCAAAACTACTCACCGGCGCGTCCTATATCCGAGATTTTACAGCCAGACTAACATCACGAAGGCGCCAGAGATCGCTCAGATTAGCACAAGTTACTCTGGCTTTCACCACAAATGAATTGATCTCATCATTCACTCCACCATCAGCTCTTATATAGCTAATTAGTTATACGGACTTCTCGATAACTTCTGTCTGCTCACTACCCAGAATAAGTGGAGGTTCAGGGTCCTGTCAGCCATGCACTTAGAAGGTGACAAGCACATGCCATACCTACGGACGCTGGTTTCCAGCTGAATAAGTGCGTATTGCATGGCTTCGCTGTTACCACACAGTAAGACAATATCATCCGCATACTCAAGGTGGAAAAGTTCCTTCAGACAAGAGATCTACTTCGTCATTACTTACGTTAATCTGAGGTGTTTCCAGAACGTCATCGATGACAAACTTGAAGAGGAATGGTGAGCTTGGGCAATCCAACCTAACCCCACTGCTTGAATGAAACAATGGAAAGAGGTGGTTGTATGTTCTCACTCTGTCTGAGTTGTTTGTATATAGGGCTTTCAAGATGGTAATGGACTTCCCAGGTACACCCTTCTTCAATGGATACTCCCAGAGTACAGCCCTGTCCAACCAATCGAAGAAGATCCTAATGCAAAGAAACAACGATTGTTGGCCTGTGATAAGTGTGACGATGTTGTAACATTTGGCGGAGGATGAATATATGGACCGTTTTTCCTCGAATAGAATCAACGAAGTTGACGGAGATCGTGTAGAATGATATGCCTCAAGGAGTTGTAAGTAGCTTGTAGAAAACGCAGTGTCTATAAGCGGAACATCTAGCGAACGCGCAAGCCACTTTATTTGCCGTTCCCATGGCATCATGTAAATCCAGCCGGTGCTGGTCTATACTTCTCTGTGAGGTGACAGCCATCCTTGGACCTAGCCCGGTTTCATACATAATTGCAATAAAGGCTGCATTTAACTTGGTTACATCAATCCGTTTAGGAAAATAAATTGTTAGCCATTAAAAATTAATATAAGATTGGCGCAGACGAAGACATGATCAGATCCCAGATAAGTGCTCTAAAAGAAGCGGCGGTCTCCTACACAGCCACGACAGCATTAGCTGACACCGATGGGACCAATCTGAGACCGGGCTTGAAATTTAGTGAAAGAACGCCATGTACTACATTGGAAATGACTGTCGTGCCACCAGAAAATTCCTGTAGGTCACAAAAACGACTGGTTAGTGCAGTATTCGTGTGAGGTTGTGACTTGAGTCCGTTTAAGAAGAAAGACTTTCCACCATAGGTGTGCTACCTAATGAATGTGAACAAAATAAAATAAAAAATAACGTGATCTAAAAAAAGGAAGAATGGTACCGAATCGTTCTCATGATGATGGTTGGAGTGAGTATAATTTTCCCCAGTTGTGGGCACCATTTGAGTTGTTTGAACTAGAAATCTGCCCAGGTGCCCAAACGGTAGTTGGTGGTTTTCTTAGGGGGTCGCTGTCCGACCCTTTGACCTGGAGGTCCGATACACAAGAAGATGCAGCATCATGGTAACCAGTGACCAAGGTTAGGTTCATACGCCATTTGTTCCCTTAGTATCCCTAGCCCATATGACCACTGTTTTGAAATCAGAGTTTTCCAATTCCCCTAGGTGATTTCCCCGTACCACCAACCCGGCGAAGACTACAGACATTCCCTTTTAGTCTGCCAAAACGGATGTTTCATATGCAATAACCGCTGCGAGAGGGTAGTAATTAGTGTTATGTTCCATAGCCTGTCAAATATCACGTGACAAAATCACTAGTCGGAATACCGACTATATGACTCTGTCCCTATGTTAAACCAATGATATGTTAACCAACTCTGTATAGTATCTACTTGCCTAGACCAAAATGTAAAATCCAGCCTCTAATATATCAAGCATGTTTCAGACACATGCGGTTAATATACAAGCAGACCAAACCGCAAAGCATAAAATGTAAGCTGAAGGTCTACGAGCGGATATGGACAGTCTCACCCCAAATGCCCTGGTACGGCCAATATTGGTGAGTCCGCTCTCCTTGTCCAGGTGCTCTCACATGGCCGTGCATACACAGCCACTGCTAGGGAAGTCTTGCTCACTGTCTTATCACGAGGAGGGGCGTTTACAAAATTGAGAAGACAGAAACCCAACGTCCGGCGTTTTGACCTGGCTGATCGATATGGAAAATCCATCTGTGGGAGAAAACGTGCTTCCAAAACAGTGTTGCACATGACCTCCAGGATCTTGAAGGGAGGAATGGCGTGCGAACCTAATATTGGTCACTAACTACCATGGGACTGCATCTCCTTACGTTGCTTCACTGCCTAGTGGATTAGACATCTGGGTCAAGAGGTCGGGCTGCAACCCCCTAAAATAACATTTCGGTCTTAGCTTCTGGGCACTATTCCAACCTTCACAAAAATCGAATGACGGAGTGTGGAACTTACATATTTAGTGCCTCTTTGTATCAGTTGTTTAAATAAATAAATGGACAACCGGTAGTCTTGCAGTTTTAGTTGACACCATAAATTCCAGTTCGTTTTCATCATTACCTGGATAAAATTTTTAAATATATTTATTCTTCATTTTGTTTACATGTTATCTTTCAGAAACCCTCAAAGTGTGACTTGTGTGTACATGGTAACCTAGAAACCGGTTGGCACATCCCTTATTATAAAGGGCACCACCAGAAATTCTACACTGCAGTCGATTCGTGGCTTTGTTTACATCGTTTGAAATAAATTTTTGCGGCAAGACATTTGTTTTCATAGTTCATACCCTTAAACAATTTTTAAGTGTAAATACATAACAAAAAATATTTTGAGTTCGTTGTCAAGTCTCAAGTTTACATCATAATTTTCCTTTTAGTAGTTGGTCCAGTACGGTACTTTCCAGAATACACCTGCTATTTTTTAGGTAATGGCTTGTCCTAGTATCACATAACGAAGCTTGGACAAATAAATACTAGATGTGTGGTTGAATGTTGTAGTAGTGGTGATGGTATGTCGACTATGCGTAGTTGGTGTATAATCATCCTTGCTGCATAACTATTACGGGACAAAATGGCTAATGTATCATTCGATATCCTTACAAAATGAACTGCGGTAAATTAACGTGTTTAAACAGTATTTTGCAGGTAACTACATGTTGCTAGATTTTAGTCAGTAATACTGCTCTAGATATCCGGCTTAATTCCTACCTATTTTGTAAGACATGAGTTATGTTTTGCTAATAGCTTATATTACCACTAATAATGTTACTACCTTTGCTGCTTTGGGATTTGCCCTGACAGTCTGATCTTGTGCAAATGGAGTATGGCTTATTAAACCGATGTACACACGTATCAAGTTTTACTGACTACAAATTTGGTTGATACTGTCGCAATTTTCGGCTCAATTCGTCGGCAACTGAGATCTAATAGCTGTGTTTGCCACTGGAACGCAGGCCAAGGGATTACATCAACCAACTTAAGTTTATTTACCCAAAAACTTAGGAAGTTACAGGATGTGACGAATCGGCACATGCATTTACTATGTTATGTATCTACCTTCAACCTTTAAATTGTCATAGATTATTTATTTATTTGAACACATAAATATTGGTACAAGAGAGCGCCAATATATATGCGTCTATATGAAATTACTATTATTGTCAAATTGTCATAGATACAAAATCCTGTTCTAGATGCTTGCTTCTGGACTGATTTGAATCAGTGGCTAGTCTAGTGTTACAGTGTATTGCCTGTTTCACTTGTTCCAGAATTTCCACCAGTAGTATTGTTTCGGACAGTGATGAAACCCAAGCACTCGTAAGACTTGTTTCCTTGACTATACAAGTTATCTGTCAATCAGCAGTTCGTTTGAGATATGATCTTTAAAAGTGGATACATGAAATTGCTGTTATTACATATTCCTCGAAGCACTGCTTGCATGTGTTCGGATCACCGTATGATCGGTGTTGAGGCAAAGTTTGATGAACTTGATAAAGACGTTAAACTGATGCGTGGCTGAGACAGGCCCAGCTACACCCTACTCTTACCCTGTCCTTGGATGTTTAAAGCTATGTTGCATCATGAATATAGTAGATATATCTATTTCTATCACGAGCATGTTAGTGTATACCGAATAGAATAAATTAGCCAGCAAACTAAACTTTTGAAGTATAGAACGCGAACTTCATGAACATATATTCTTCTTAGAAACATAACTAAACACAAAGTTTTACATAAAAATAACTTCTAACTGCCAATAGAGCATGAATAAGAAAAACAGCGTGAAGGAGTACATAGAAAGTAACAAAGGAAATAAATCGGGATATGCTACAGGAGGTGTAATCAGTAAGTCACCGATAATCAGGATACTATAGCCAATAAGAATAAAAAGAATGATAAATATAGAGATGATATTATTACTCGTAGCACTATTTCGTAATTTCTTTTTTTCAGCAACATGTTTATCACTATTGTTACTTTTAAGTATTATAAAACAGCCTAGAATGGTATGTATACATGTTAAACACAAACTAGCCAATTGTAAACCGTCCTTTTTAAATAATGGCCACATACTAAGAGTAGAGCATAAAGAGAACAAAAATGACGATATGGGATAAAAAGGTAGCAAACACAAAGCAGGGATAGACACTAACAAAATTGATTTTTCATGAACTTGGAAGGAGAATAGGTAGAAATTTAACGCACATAGTGCTAGAGAAATCAGGAATTTTCGGTTTTTAGACTTCTTTAATAAAACTATACAAAATGGAAGGCATGTAGTCAGTACGAGCAGGACACTAACCCACACCAGTTTAGTAGACGATAATGTTAAGGATGACGTAGGAAGTGGTGAACGCCATTTTACTAGCGGTGATGTAGCACACCAAAAATTAGATACTTTGTCTTCGTAAATACCGCGATTAAACGGAAATAAACGTCGGACGACTTGAAATGAAAGATTCAAATCGGTTGTTAGTAAGAACGGTGCAAATATCAAAAATACTGTCAAGAAAACGACACAGCTCAGTCTAGCTAGATGTGTTAGTCCACTGCGCACGGATTTTTTGTAAATACAGTTGCTTAATAAAAAGAAAAAAATTGGCAACGCATGATACAGTTCCATTTGTTTATAACCTATGGCTAAACAAAATAATATAGAACCGAGCATATCCCACTCTAGGAGGAGGAAATTAATTCCGCTCAAATACAAACCAAGACTGATACAATTATATTGGAAGTGTCCATGGTCAATCAATATAAGACCAGGATAAGTTAATGTTAGGCATGCTGAATAAAATCCACTAATTTGTGACTTATTATTCATAATGCTAGGTAGAACATAATAAAAATACAGTAATACGGAAGGTATAAAAAACAATAAGTCAGCTACCAGTACAGTATAACGCATAAACAATTTGTGCTCTTTAGATTCGAAACCTCTCGATGTATACAACTGAACCCAATCACGGTCAATTTTATTAGCTAGTTTACCCATCAGCCAACTATGATATGCCGTAACAGGTGGATAATCTAACCCCCAATAATTCAAATCATTATGTGTTGAGTTGATATACCATTCTGCGAATGGTAAATTAACGGTGATTTCCATCCAATGACGTTGAGCTTCATAGTCACCATACATGGGTGGTTTATTTTCGCCGGAATATGAGTGTAAACTGGTAGATGAGCGTAAGGCTATTCCAATGAACATAGGTAGACAAATTTTAACCAAGTTATCGACATTCGCATTTACCATGACTGTTACGATCCGTTGTACTATAAAATTGGATAGAGAAAACCAAGTCAATCGGTTAATATTTAATGAGCAGTAAAACGCCGTTACTTAATTACAGATATCTCAAGATAAATGAAATACTACAATAAATACTGGGAACTTTTTGGAAGATATTTTGGATTAGAGTCACTAGTAAACGTTAACTTATCAACAATAAAACAAGTTTTGCGTAGCATAAATGATCACATTAGGCATAAAAGACAATTTTAGTTGTTAATAGACCATATACCTTAGTTCGTTGTATATTATAAAACCACAACAATCCCAAGTCTTCGAACATTTCAGTATCTTATTCGAAATATTCATTTTCAACGACCAACCACTAAAAACCTACTTAAGCACGTGCACGTAATTGCTGTCCTTCAAAAGCGATTTCTTCTAGGTACATTAAAAACGCAAATTTGATAATAGAATAAAAGTTGAGTAAATTTGAAATACTATCTCACAAGAGCGTAGGACTTAGTACTAATAGTATAAGTTACATTTTCTAAGTTTATAATTCCTTGTTTGCTTTATATGATGGCTTTTCAGCTTACGGGAACTAGTTGTTACACACCGCATACTAAGATAGGAAAATGTGACGAGTAAGGAACAGTTTATTCACCCTTGCACAAAATGAGTAAATTTTAATATTCAAATAGTTGTTACTACCTTAATATTCGTAGGGAAAACGTGCTTCGTGAAGTCGATGGGTGCTATCCCATTGAAAGTAGTAGCAAAGTGTAGAAACATGGAATGATGAATGTATTTCTAACAAAATCTAACACACAAGTTATATGACTTGTGATGCCAGATAATTTGTGAGTAAACTGAAGTCGGAGGTTTATCTTCCAGTTTCTGGGTAGTTAAAACAAACTGACTGATAACATTAGGTGGGTTAGGAGTAATTAAGCACACATTCATTACTTCACTGTTGTTGAAAATGATCGCAATAGTGAGCACACCAACAGCTCCTACGAACAATTAACAATTTCAGGATACCTACTAGTTGTACACAGATAATTCTGTACAAAAATTCATTTATGTGTCCGAATATGGAAATGAAATCCAGCTAGCGACTTAGTGAGGGGAAACACACATACAAGGGATATTGGATCGCCACTAGAAGACACGCCACGGGTTGACATATCAACTGGAATACTAACTCTTTTCACTGAGGACAGGATGAAAAAATCGTTAGTTTGTATGGAGCTGCCGATTCGCAATTCGCCTTTTCAATCGAATCAAAAGAGGCAGATTAGGGAATCAGTGCACAGAGGCTGTTACAACTAAGCAACCATTTCACGACTATGTAGAAAATCTCTCCCTCAGTGGTATGTTTCAGGCTAGAATTTTCGTGATTACGGCGAGACCCTAATTTATATATGGGGTTTTCATCACAAACTGGCATCAGCTCCCGAGCTCCCAATTTCGGGGAAAACTTGGCACATTTTGGGGAAATTCCCCTCTAACATTGGTCAAAGTCATTTGACTTTGGAGGTTTCCCCAAAATTCCCATAAACATTGGTGAAGGTCATCTGACTTCGAGAGTTTCCCCAAAGTTGGGAGCTCGAGCTATAAGGCCAGAAATTTATTTAACCAAGTGCATGAAAGGCTATCGCGTTAAACCCCGAGATTTATTATCTTATACCTGACTGATTCGTCCACAAATGATAGTCTTGCAGTTTTATTTGCTATAGCCGCTCAATTACCACGATTTTTACAAAATTCCGTGTGAGCCGATCATACGTCAGCATTAAGCACTGTAGTTGGCGCTGTACCCTTGATATCTCTAGGACGCTTCTGATTGGTTCGCCCATTAAAATCGTCTCGCCAGGTGAACATAGAAGACATTTAAATGTCCAATCGAGCAATTGCATTGTGATTATAGAGTGAGATCAACGTTAAGAGTTAGAGATAGCGGTCACGGTTAGAGTTCCGCTGAATAGTTTAGGTTTAACAAAATAAATTACATGCTTTCTGTGGACGAGGATATACTCAGACTTTGTTTGCTCCTACGTAATTCCAGTGCAACAGCAACCCTATTTATAACAGCCCTCTGATGAGTTGTTAGTTCAAATTTTATGTAAACCTAAATTTTTACTTTGATGGAGTTTTGTTCCCTGAGTTGGATGGTTTGGTCGTGTTCGAACACTTCACTTCTACCTGAAGTTTGTGCTGATGATATCATTCGAAAGAACAATGAAAGCTCCACGACCAAATTATCCAGTTCAGAGAAAAAAACTCCATTAAAATCATTCACCTGAACTACGAATCTTTTCCAGCATCTCTAATTTTTTACTGTTAAATAGTACATTTCAAATAATCACTAAAATTCATAACCAATATTGTAATTGATATAGACTAGATAGAATTTGGCTAGCAGTGGAATCTAGGATATTCTTTGAGTCCTATTTGAGATTAGTTAGCTGAATGTACTTGTATACCAGAGTTATTCACTCTGGGTCACAAGCCAGTACCATTCGCTTCAAATGCCATCATATTGTCTATTTGGCTACTGAGTTCAGATGGCCACTCACTTGTACAACGGGTATGAAATTTAATTTGATTTGAAATAGTTTGGATTATCCCGTTGTTGATAGTTTTGATGAAACTTGGTTAGTATGGCAAAACATATGTCCTATGTCCCACTGCTAGCCACATTCCATCTGGTTTTGTCAACTTGTACCATAAGGGTATATCGAGACAGTCCGTGCAAAATGCCTGTATGCCAACCTAGACTGATCAAATTTCATTCAAAAAATATCAACGATGTGATAATCCAAATATTTTCAAGTTGGTTCAGTAATATGATTTTTCTAGCATTGTTTGAATAGTAACCAACGTCAATTACACGTTTCGTTACATGTTCTGATTATGAGAATGATGACCACGTCCTGAAAATATACAGCTCTGAAATAGAACTGAAATAAATATTAGTATCATGTATAAAATGCTTCCTAAATGGATGTTATGTTTAAATAGCGCTTACACTAGAGGAGTTACTGTCAAAGACAAATTTCGACAAAACAACGTTTGTTCGAAGGAAATAGACCAGTGTACTTATTATAGTCAAGAACTGTTGGAAAGAAAGTAACATATAGTGATGAATAACTTCAAGTTCTTACACATCTCAATAATAAATAAATATTTAATAATATACCAGGACGAAAACCAATGGCCTTAGTTATATAAATAAACTCAATATAATAATGTGTATAATTTAAAGGAGAATAAAAGATGATTCTTTTTGTTATCCAGATCGGTTTTAACTAATTTCAGTCACAATCTTCAATCGTAAGATTTACTCTACCGCAAGTTCTAATTAAATAATCTTTACTATTTCCATAGTAATTTTAATAGCAGTTAATTACTCCATAAAATGATGCAGTATCATACCAAATATTACTTAATATCATTTTCCATCCCCTTCTACACAAACAAAAGATAAGTCTCTATTCAAAATCACATAATAAAGGCCCAAACGAGGGAGACTGAAGAACAAAAGGTGTGATTAAACGAGATCGGAACAAAGGTCAGAATACACAAAAAGGGAGAAGGGACAAATGAATGACAATACTGTCCAACAAAGAAGCGGCGGAGGGGTTTCCATCGTTTCTTTTTCGTTACATTAGGTACTTAAGATCAAGACTATGACATCACCCTCATTCCGGCTAATGCCATTCTGGCTGAAAAGGCTCGAAACCTGGTTATGATTTGAAGATCAACTCCTCAGTAACATCTATTTGAAACATGGCTCAGCAATCAACATGTTGTTACGAATGAGAGTAGTAATTGGTCAAAGGAATTTTGGTGATGGCCTGTTTAGGCAAATTTTCTTGTGTAAACTTCCTCAACAGGTGCAAGCAGTGCTTGTCTCATCTCAAAACAAAGCTGTAGACGAGCCGGCGGCATCTGTCAACCGCATTCTGGATATTACCAAAACGTCTGACGCCGAGGTTTTTCAGTTAACGAAAAACTACAAACGACGCGGAACGACGACGTCACGTATATCTGTCGTTTGCTGATACGATACCTTCGTATTCGTCATCACCGTGAAAAATCAAAAATCCCTCGAAGGAGTTCTTCACGAAAACGATTTGTCTCTAGAACACAAGAGACTGACAACCGCAAATGGTGATGGTATCAAAATCGGAATGCATAATATTGATATTGTTTAAAGCCCTGTAATCTTCCGAACTCCAAAACGACCGACATGAAAAAGTCTTCATGAAACTTTTCAGCCGGCATGCGTTTGTAGAATTATGGTCTACTATGATATTAGTACTGCTCTAATAATAGACCTAATAATAAATTTTGTAGATTTGTCATGATATAACTGCCTAATCTATAAGATCTTACGTGGAAGTCACACCATCGACTACACCAACTCACTGTATCATGTCAATTACCAATACATGATGTAGAACAAGGTTAGGCTAGAGAAAGAACAATATATTTAATATGAATAGAAGATATAAGGTAACATTCAGCGGAGACCACGCCTGCATGGCCGAGCCATGCCACTCGATCAACTCCAGTCCATTCAATTCATTGTCCGCGCCTTCTCCATTGTTAGGTATTTCTCCGTGTTGAATATTGAATATCCATTTTCTGAGTAGTATTGTGTTCAGCTTTGTGGATTGTGCGGTTATTGTTCAATGCCACTACACTACTCTCCCACCAAAATCAACGTGATGTTGGTTCGATACCAAATTGGATGGGATCGTCGCGCGCCGGAGGTTACCAAGGATAATAAGAATCCTCCGGGTATTGGTAAGCTGATAGATAAATCAAAAGGAAGGCGGCAGCATCTGGTCGGGAAATACATGTAATAATTTTAAAATATCTGCCTTTATGCTTGACATGCTTGAAATAAAAATTTGAGTGAAGATTATTTGAGCTATAAAAAATGGGGTTACAATAATAATAAAACCATGCGTTTTAATAGCCGTTGGTAATAACTTAACGTATAGGTAGTAAGTATTTTGTGTTTAGATATACTAAAGTAATGAATATTGTAGAAATGTTAATATTGGTATTAGTTTTGGTTTAAATTATGAAATCAGATAACGATTATGCCGGTAAGTTGTCCATATGAGTTGAATTCCAATTGAATCTGTATTAGTAGGCTAACTGGAAGAACAAAAGTATTACCATGGAAAAGAATTCCAACTAGTGTTCCAGTTAGTTTGATACGGTTTATTTAGTTACAGGGAGATTTTCTCAACCTCATTTTTACTTGACCGTGATAGAATTTAGTAATACTACTAATACACATTAATGTTCATCAAAACAAAATTTAAATACGTGAGTGATAATTATATGAATTTTGGACAGATAGCTAGGAACAAATCGTTAAACATGAGTGTATTCGTAAGAGACATGCTCTAGACTCAATGTTCTGATCTGTGGCAGACTATTTATTTGTATTTATACTTGCCGGCTGATTGGGCATACAAGTTAGTTGCAAGTATGCAGTTTATTATAAGGCGGAATACGATTTAATTGAGATATAGTGGTCATAAGTTATTAAAATCAGTTAAGCCTATGGGTCATATTACGAAGTGATGTGGTGCTGCAAGATGTATTTAGCTAAATAAGTTTTTACAAGATGATTAACCGTGAGCGATGCTCATGTGATTATCAGGGAGAACATAAGTTGTAACCAAGGGGAGTACACTCCAAACTCATGTCTATGATAATGGCTTGAACCTTAGTCAGTGTTGAGGTAAATTCGACATTGATGTTTTCAGTTTTCAGGAGGTTTGCTCGACTGCTTATACTGATTATTTGCATGCATGATTGTGTCGCTTAACCTCCAATTAGACTGACAAGGTTTTGAGATATTTGCTGAATAAGCAACTGATAGAGAAACATACTGTAATCATCTGTAGTGAATGGAGATAAGAGAAAAACAACACTAGTGATAATTATAAGTCAATTTGCTAACCGATTTTGTTAATAGTTTCATTAATTTTATCAATCATATTACGTGATTGTCAAGTCATGACAATGCTTTATGACGATATCCTGAAACTATTATGTTTAACTAGTTATAGTGTTGAATGAGGATTAATCAGTGGAAAAATAGGTATTGTTGCTTTAGGTGATTCGAAATTATCAGAAAATTATAACGTTAAAGAATCCCAGACGCCTAATTTAATTATAAATTTTAATTCAGAAAGATTCATTTAGTGTTAATTCTAGTAGGCTACGGAGTTTTGATTTTAAACGTTTGTTTAGCCAACAGCTACCTAGGGATTTAGTTATTTTACTAGTGCAGTTAATAGTACCTGTACGTATGTACGGGCCAGGTTAACATGCAGGTAGGTTGTTGACGTATATGACAATTTAAAAATAATGAACATGACCAGAAAAATAATTTTAAAGTTAAGACTGCTTATGAAACTTCAGGCAGGAACATGGCGCGTTATAAACATTACATAAGAAGTTACTGCATTTAGCCTAGGGACACTTACAAATATGTGGCAAAAGCAACTGGAAAATATATAAATGTTAAGTACAAAATAAAATCATTGAGTAAAATAGTTGAACTCGCGTGGATTATTTTTGAAGATTAGATTATTCAGTGTACGACATATATAACGCCATTCGTGAGTAGTAATGATCCAAAAGCATCCAGAACAAAACATGCAGTATGGCAATTAATCCCAGGGTGCTTGATGCTGTTGACGTTTTCGCCACTCACTCGGATCAGAACAACCGAATGAATCCAGATAATTGTGCGGTCACCATTGAACGAGCCATTTAAAATGACCTTATGATTGCAGAAAACTTATGGC